TGGACGAAGTACACTGCTGAGGGGAGCAGCGGGTGAGACATTTAGGTCTTTTCAGTTTTTCATTCTCGAGTTATTTTGGTAGTTGTGTCTATAGATTTTTTTTCTGAGTTCTCTAACTTTTAGAATATTATTTTCTCTTATTTTTTATTGAAAGGACAGTAGTGATCTATTTGTCCTCACTTTTGAAAATTGGAGTTTTTCTCTTTTTACTTAGTCTAGCTAAATATTTGTCAGTCTTATTGGTGTTGGTTTTGAAAACCAAGTTTTATTTCAATTGAAGTTTTTTCTATTTTCATTCTTTTATATAGACTAAACTTTATTTAATTCCTCCATTTGTTTTCTCTGCACATCTTTATATTCACTATTATAATTATTTCCATATATACAAATCAGACCAACTAAACTAATAGTATATAAGCAATAAAGCAGATATTCACTGGACCAGAAAATGATATTTACTTTTAAAGTAGTGCATAGTAAATTTCTTGTCTCCCTTTTATTAAGCATACCATGACTTCCTTGTCTTGGGGACTGTTGACCTTTCCATGTCCAAAAATGGAAGCATTTTTAGATAATCATGATCATTTAAATCAAAATTCTGCCTTTGGGCTCAAACACTAACATGGCCAACATGCTATTTCAGAGGACACTGACATAATGCATTGCTTGCTGGGTGTGCACTGGAGGACAAATAAGTAACACATGTTGGAAGTCCTAAAAGATGCACTTAAGTGTAGATTTTGGAAGCGAAGTACTAACAGAAATATCTTATTGGGTCTCAAGACAAAAGATTTCTATAATCTACAGTTACTCTTAAACCAAGGCTTTCAAAAACTTTTCTTTTTTAAAGTGATACATGAGTATTACATTTCCGTTTAGGTCGTACAGGAGTATGAGAGAGTAATTATATTCCGACTGGGACATCTGCTTCCTGGAAGAGCCAAAGGTCCTGGTAAGAAGCATCTTCCCCACCCCTACTCCCTCAACAATCACCCTCCAGCCATCCACTTGCCAATTTTTCAATCCATTCCAATGTGCAATATGGACCTTGGATTATGTAAAATAGCTTGGCTCATGACATTTGATTTTCCAGACAGTAAGTAGTCTGACTTGTCTTAGTTAGCACAATATGAACAAATTCTCTTCACCTGTCACTTCCCTCCTGCACCTCTTCCAGGCCTTTTCTTCTTTTTGCCCTGCCTGGACACCTACCACAGGGTTGACCTTCGTCTCCAAACCTTGGAAATACCCTTTCATGAGGTGAGCCGAATGATGGAGTTTGCTTTTCCTGTATATTATCAATGACTGAGCTACCAATTCCAGCTCAGGGCAAAATGAATATTTAAACTCAAAAGTTTAAATAGTCTAGACAGTTGAAGCCCTTAAGAAAGGACTAAGCTCTCTTCCCAGGATTAGAAAATTTTGCTTGCAGACTACTCTCAGACCCTAGCTGTTACATCGACTCTTGCTTCATCTGTTGATTTCTCCTGAAGATTTTGGGCTTTTTAGTCTCTGCAACTGAAAAAGTTCTTAAAGTCTCAATAGATGGGTGGATGGATGGATGGATGAAGGTGATTGTGTCTTATTTGCCTTTTATTCCATTGATACTGGTTCTCATTCATTTGAAAGTTAAATGAACTGAGTTGCTAGGGTGAGTCCTGATTAGGATCGGTAACCCTTACTACATGTTACTGGATTTATGTTGCCAG